CTGAAGCAGATGCAGAAGGAGCACCTGCTGCGGGTGGTGGAGCTGCCCTACTCCATCTTCTGTCTGGACATGTGGCAGGGGACCCTGGTCCTGCTGGGCCACATCCTGCCCAGCCTACTCACTGACTCCTCCAAGTGGCACAGCCTCATGGACCCCCTGGCACCACTCTTGCCAAGCTGGCCATCTGGTGTGCCCTGAGTTCCTACTCCTCACACAAGGGGCAGGTGTCCTCCCGCTGAAAGAAGAGAAACTGTGAAGACATCGAAGATTACATCAGCCTCTTCCCATTGGACAACATGCAGCCCTCAAAGCTGATGTGACTGCTGAACTCCAATGAGGAAGATGCAAGTATCCTCTCGAATCTCACCAACTGATCCATGAGCAGCTCCCTGTCAGCCTCCCAGCTCCACAAATTTAACATGAGACCCACTGAACCGAGTGCTGGCCAATCTGTTCCTGCTTATCTCCTCCATCCTGGGGTTGCAGCCCACACATGCAGTCTGTGCAGTGGTTCATGGAGCAGTGCATGGACTGCCTGGAGCAGGGCAGCCAGGGCACTGTCCTGCAGTTCATGCCCTTCACCACCGTATCAGAACTAGTGAAGGTGTCAGCCATGTCCAGCCCCAATGTGGTTCTGGCCATCACAGACCTCAGACTGCCCCTGGGCTGCAAGGTTGCTGCCAAAGCCATTGCTGCCCTCTGAGGGGCTTGGATTGGCTACCAGGGCTGGCAGGAGAGGGTCCCAGCCCCAGGCACCTCAGAAGGGAACCGTGAGGAGAGTTGAGACATCATTGGTCATAGCCACATGACATAACAGCCCTCGGTCAGTCGGTTTCCAGATCTTTCCCCTGCTCTTGACCTCTAAGAAGGCTCCCAGTCTCTTTAGTAATTTCCTCTCTCCACTGCCAGCACCTGGCTCCTTAGCTCAGGGCAGCCTTCCTGTTTTGCACCAGTCCCACCACTCCTCCCCTCCCACAGGCAGCTTTACCTCTGAGGGACTGCACAGGTGCAGGGTCTGTGTGTATACATGTATATGTGTATATATGTATATTTATATGGAATCACAAAAGGCTCAGAATTGCCAAAGTAATATTGAAAAAGAATGAAGCAGGAGGAATAACCCTCCCAGATCAGACAATATTACAGAGCTACAGGCATCAAAATAGCATGATATTGACATAAAAACAGACATATGGATCAATGGAACAGAATAGACAGCCCAGAAGTAAATCCAAAGACTTACAGTCAATTAATGTTTGACATAGGAGACAATAATATACAATAGAGAAGACAGTCTCTTCAGCAAGTGATATTGAGTAAACTGGACAGCAGCATGTAAATAATGAAGACAGAACACTCCCTTCACCCCACATACAAAAATAAACTCAAAATGGCTTAAAGACTTAAATATAAGACAAGACATGATAAATCTCCTAGAAGAAAATATAGGCAAAATATCCTCTGACATAAATCTTAGCAATGATCTCTTAGGGCAGTCTACCCAGGCAATGGAAATAAAAGCAAAAATAAACAAATGGGATCTAATTAAACTCATAAGCATTTGCACAGCAAAGGAAATGATAAGCAAAATGTAACAACAACATATGGAATGTGATAAAATGTATGCAAATGATATGACTGACAAAGGCTTGATTTCCAGAGTATATAAACAGAACATATAATTTAATAACAACAACAAAACAACCCTATCCAAAAATGGGCAGAGCACCTAAACAAGCAATTCTCCAATGAAGACATACAAATGGCCAGTAGGTATAAGAAAAAAAATGCTAAATATCACTAATTTTAAGAGAAATGAAAATCAAAACTGCAGTGACATATCACCTCACACCATTCAGAATGGCCACCATTCAAAAGTTCATGAATGATAAATCCTGGAGAGGGCGTGGAGAAAACAGAACCCTCCTACACTGCTGGTGGGAATGCAGTTTGGTGTAGCCATTATTGAAAACTGGAAATTCCTCAAAAAACCAAAAATAGGCTTACCCTATGATCCAGCAATCCCACTTCTGGGTATATATCTGGAGGGAACTCTAATGTGGAAAGATATCTGCACCCCAATGTTTACAGCACCACTATATACAATAGCCAAGACCTGGCAGCAACATAAATGTAGCAACATTTGACTGGATAAACAAATTGTGGTATATTCACACAATGGAATACTGTTCTGCTGTGAAAAAGAATAAAATAATGTCATTTGCAGCAACATGGATGGACCTAGAGATCATCATTCTAGGTGAAGTAAGCCAAGAAAAGAAAGAAAAATACCATATATCACACATATGTGGAATCTTAAAAAAGAGAAAGGACACTATGAACTCATCTACAAAACAGAAACAGACTCACAGACTTAGTAAACAATCTTAGGGTTACCAGGGAAAGGGGGTGGGGAGAGATAAACTTGGGAGTTTGAGATTTAAAAATGTTAGTCACTATATATACAGACAGATATTTTAAAAATGTTTCTTCTGTATAGCACAGAGACCTATGCTCAATATCTTGTAATAACATATTAATGGAAAATCTGCTACAGCTACCACCTGACATAAAAGAGGAGAGTTAGTTATCCTGGGCTAGAACCCAGTCCTTCACAAGTCCTTGTCCACCACCTGAGAGCACTGAATCCTCCTCCCAGGAATAGGCTGACATGAATACACATTTCCAGTGAACCTGGGTCAGCAGAGGCTGCCCCCCAGGACAGGCCACAGGGAGATGGGAGCAAGTCCACCTTCTCCCCCAGGGCAACCCCCCTCACCTGGCCACCACTGCCCCCTGACAGCACCTTGCCCACCTCCCGGGAGCCAACTCACCTGGGAACAAGTGTCCCAGGAACCTGGGGCAGCGGTGGGGAGAGAGGAGCTGCCCCTGATAAACTGGTATATTTGTACGTATCTCCTCTGCAATATGGCCTGGGGGCGGCCTCTGCTGACCCAGCTTCCCGGGATGCCCATCTCTTGATTTGCCTGCTCCTGGGAGGCAGGCGCGGTGCGTTCTGGGGGTAGCAGCAATGGTAAAGGGGGGAATGGGGCTGCCCCGTGTGAATACAGGGATTTGTTCCCACTTCCCGCTGTCACTGCTGCTGCCCCCCCACAGACTGCACTGCGCCTGCCTCCCAGCAGCAGGCTGACCTGTAACCTGTATCCCACCAACCTGGGGCAGTAGAGGCCACCCTAGGCCAAGCCACACGGGAGATGGAAGCAAGTCCACCTGCTCCCCAGGGGCAGCTACCCTCCCACCACCGCCACAGCCACCTTCCCAGCTGCTGCTGCTGCTTCTGCTGCCCCCTAACAGTGCTGCGCCCACCTCCCAGGAGCCAACTCACCTGGAAGCAAGTGTCCCACAAACCTGGGGCAGCATTTGCCCCCATCTCCCCTGCATCATGGCCTGGGGGCAACTCCTGCTGCTCCAGCTTTGATGGAGGAACCTTCCCAGGTCAGCCTGCTCCTGGGAGGTGGCCATAGTGTGCTCAGGGAAGTGATGGCAGTGGGTTAGGGGGGCTGCCATGCGAGCCTTTGGATTTGCTTCAATCTCCCCAGCAGCCTATCTCGGGGGCGGCCTCTGCTGCCCCAGATTTGCGGGATGCACGTCTTGGGAACTGCCTGCTCCTGGGAGGCAGGAGCGGTGCAGTCAAAGTGCAGAGGCTGCAGAAGGGACGACGACGACAGCTGCAGGGGAGGGGGAGATGCTCCGGAGAACCAGTCGAGTTGCTCCAATCTTCCCCACAGCCTGGCCTGGGGGCGGCCTCTGTTGCCTCAGCTTCCTGGAAGGCAGGTCTCCCTGTCAGCCTGCTGCCCGGAATCAGGCACGGTGCGGTCAGGGGGCAGCGGCAACAAGTGTAGGAGGGATGCCTCTGCGACCCTGTCCATTTGCTCCCATCTCCCTGTGGCCTGGCCTCGGGGCGGCTTCTGCTGCCCCAGGTTCAGGGGAATCAGGCTACATGACAGTCGGCTCCTAGGAGGCTGGGCGGTGAGGTCAGGGGGCAGCAGTGTTTGTAGAGGCTGAGGGAGGGGGGACGCCCTGGGAAAGCTGGTCCACTTGCTCCCACCTCCCCCGCTGCCTGGCTTTGGGGTGGCCTCTGCTGCCCTAGCTTCTCGGAATGCAATTCTCCCTGTCAGCCTGATCTTGGGAGGCGGGTGCAGCGCGGTCAGGGGGTGGCAGCGGCGGTGTCATGACTGGGGCTGACCCCGTGAAAGCCTGGGGATTTGCTCCCATTTCCCGCTGCAGCCGCCCCCGCACACTGACTGCACCGTGCCCGCCTCCCAGGAGCAGCATGACCTGTAACCTGCGTCCTGAGAACCTAGGACACCAGAGGCCAGCACCAGGCCAGGCTGCAGGGGAGATGGGAGCAAGCAGACCGGAGCGTCTTGGGCAGGCCCCCTACCCCCGCCGTCAATGCCGCAGCCACCCCCAGACCCCTGACAGCACAGCGCAGGTCTCCCGGGAGCAAGGTAACCCTAAGACGTGCATCAGGTGAACCTGGGTAAGCAGATGCCGCCCCCAGGCCAGGCCTCGGGAGAGATGCGAACACATCCAGTGGCTCATACCTGGCAGCCCCCCTCCCACCGCAGCCGCCTCTGCCCCCACCCCCTGACCACAGAGCACAAGGCTCCTGGGAGCTGGCTGACCTAGGGCTGTGCCTCCAGAGAACCTGGGGCAACAGAGGCCGCCCCCAGGCCAGGGCACAGGGAATTGGGAGCAAATCTCCCAGCTTGCAAATGGCAGCACCCTGTTATTCCCGCCTCGAAAGCTGCCACAGATTTCATCGTCCCCACTACTCCCTGACTGGACCACACAGGCCTTAAGGGAGCAGTCTGACCTAAAGAGGAACCCAGAGCAGCAGAGGCCGCCCCCAGGCCAGGCAGCAGGAGAGATGGGAGCAAGTAACTGGCTCCCAAGGGACAGCCCCCATCCCCTCGCTGCCACCGCCAAGGCCACGGCCTCTGCCATCTTCCCAGCCCCCTCGCCCCACTGCGCCCATGGTCTTACTAAAGTGAGTATACAGGAAACATATCTCAACATTATAAAAGCTATTCATGACAAACCTACAGTCATATAATACCCTACCAAGGGAGCTGAAAGCTTTTCCACTAAAATATGGAACCAGACAAGGGTGCCCACTCTCATCACTTCTATTCAATATAGTATTGGAAGTCCTAGCCATAGCAATTAGATAACAAAAAGAAATAAAAGGGATCCAAATTGGAAATGAAGAGATAAAATGTTATTATATGTGGATGACATGATGCTATACATAGAAAACCCTAAAAGCTCCACATAAAAACTACTAGAGCTAATAAAAGAAATCAGCAAGGTGGCAGGATAAAACAGGAACATACAGAAATTAGTGGCATTTCTTTACACGAAAGTAATAACCCCTTCTAAAGCTGTAAGCAAAAAAGAAATCTGACCCAGGAAGTTAAAGCCTTACACGCGGAGACGTACAAAACACTGATTAAGGAAATTACAGAGGACTTAAAGAAATGGAAAGATATCCCATGTTCTTGCATTGGAAGAGTTAATATTGTTAAAATGGCCATACTGCCCAAAGCAATCTACAGATTTAATGCGAACCCTATCGTATCACATTTTTCACAAAACTACAACAAATCAACGTAAAATTTATATGGAATCACAAAAGACACACAATTACCAAAGCATTACTTTAGAAAGAGATCGAAATTGGAGGAATAACCCTCTCAGACTTCAGACAGTACTACAGAGCTACAGTCATCCATGGTATGGGTATAAAAACAGATGTATGGATCAATGGACCAGAAACAGAGCCCAGAAACAAACCTACACAATTTTGGTCAATTAATCTCTGACAAAGGAGGCAAGAACATACAATGGAGTAAAGACACTCTCTTCAGCAAATTGTGTAGGGAAAACTGGACAGCTGTATGTAAATCAATGAAGTTAGGCTACTCCCTCACCCCATACACAAAAATAAATTCAAAATGGCTTAAAGACTTAAACATAAGACAAGACACAATTAACCTCCTAGAAGAAAACATAGGCAAAACATTATCTGACATACATCTCAGCACTGTTCTCCTAGGGCAGTCTACACAAGCAATGGAAATAAAAGCAAAAAACAAACAGATGGGGACCTAACTAAACTTACAAGCTTTTGCACAGCAAAGGAAACCATAAGCAAAACAAAAAACCTCTGAAATGGGAGAAAATATTTGTTATACAACAGAATAACCAAGAAAAAAGCAACCCAATCCAAAAATGGGCAGAAGACCTAAACAAGCATTTCTCCAAGACATACAAATGGCCAATAGGCACATTAAAAAGTAATCAATATCACTAATTATCAGAGAAATGCAAATCAAAACTACAATGAGGTATCACCTCACACCAGTCAGAATCGCCATCATTCAAATGTCCACAAAGGAGAAATGCTGCAGATTGTGTGGAGGAAAAGAAACCCTCCTATACTATTGGTGGGAATGTAGTTTGGTGTAGCCATTGTGGAAATCAGTAGGGAGATTTCTCAAAAGACTAAAACTAGACTTGCCAAAAGCTTTTGATCTCTGGGGCAGGCCGACCAAGCTCCCAAAGGCCCAGGTATCGCCCGTTATTCTGAAATGGAGGGTCCGGAGCGGCCTCCACTCGCCAGGCAGGTCCACCTACGCAGGATGGCCATGGTCTGAGGACCAGCCGGAGGTGCTCCGGGGTCTGTCCGGCGCCCTCTCACCTCCCATGGTTGCATCTGCTTTCCCAAATCCGTGTGTGAGCGGCAGTGAAGACACGGGGTTCAGGGACTACTAATGTGGGGGGAGAGAGCATCATGAACCAGGGCTGCGCGTCCTGCCCTGCCTCAGGGTACTAATGCGACGCCTCTCCCGGGCCTCATCTACACTCCCCTACCTGTGCGCTTCCCCAACAGCACAGCCCAGGCCTCACCCGCTGGGTCCCTGACCTGCGCGCCCCCATCAGTGCCCCCTTACCTGCCCAGCGGCCATACCAGAGGTGAGGGCAAGCGACGGCCC